CACCTTATTTAAAATCAATGTGGTCCCACGGCCCTCTGTGGCCCAAAGTTAAAAACTGTTGTTCTTTTGAGACCCTCAGTGTGGCGCTGGTCGCGGTCCATGGGTTAAGAATCTCTGATTTAAACGACACTTCTAGACACGTATGAAGAATCAAATTTCCAAAAACTCATGGATGCAGACAGCATGGATATAGTGCACAGAGTCTGCCAAATAGTGATATTCTCTCCATAACAGATTTGCATCCAAATGGTGGACATGAGAGTGGAGACATTGGGAGGGTTTCTCTAGGGTTCTGGGCCGTGTGTCTCATAAGCTGTGAGAGGTGTGTGCAAAACTGAACGTATTGAACTCATGACCAGAATCCACTTCAGATTGAAAAGCTTGGCTTTTAGTACTTTCTGAATAAGTTTGTCTTGATATTTCCTCATATCAGAGATGCTCTCCTGTGTTCTCACCACACTCTTTACACTTGCTCTGACACAACTCTGTCATGATGCAGCCAAGGATGTCATATCTGTAAGAAGGTGTTTCCATGATTGTGTCCCAGTCGTAGCCTAAACAAACGAGGCCAGTGCCCAACATCCCAGCCAGCATTTTGATACTACCAGTGCATGCTCAGAGCCTTTCTGGATCTTTCACATAAATCACTCCCAATAAGGAAATCCTGATGCTCACCTGAAGACCTCACCTGAAGACCCTGCAAAGACCATCCACATTCACTCTGGTTTTTACCATCATAGCGATGTAGCATGAGGAGGGTTCTAAACAACATCGTTCTGACTGGAAGCAGATGAAAATGTACCTTTTCTTTTTCTTTTAGCATCTTGAGGTTCTACATTATAAATACCTATATAAGTATATCAGGTTTAACAGCAGGAAAGTACCACTGACAAACAAATCACAGCTGTTCATTAATCCACACATAAGACCAGCATGACCAGTTCCCACCACAATAAAGTAAAACCTGCTCAGTATTTGGAATATTTGTTGTATTTAATCTCCCCAAACATTTGTCCTTTTTTATTATTGTTTCCCATCAGCTGTAAATCCAGTTATAAATGGGTACAAACTGGGCACTCCAAATGTATAAAGTCAGTCTGATCCACACGCAGGCTCACGTCTATGAGACAAGCATGTCATTGATAAACTATAGAAGGAAAACCCCCGGTTAGGTAATGATACAAGAGCAGTCCAGCAGACATGTACTTCCACTGTCCTGTCCAAAACTCAGAATGTCCTTGGTAGTTTTAGTGCCACCGAGCAGAGAAGAGTACTTCCTGTTGGAAACTCCGCTGCACTGACTGAAGCTGTCAGTCATTGAGAAATGAAATTCCTGCACGCTCATCATTTTCTTTATCTGACAGATTTGGAAAGAACATGATTCCTGAAAGACATTACTGCCACATGTTAAGGAAAGATCCTCAAAATTTTGTTTGAATCATACAAAACAACCCAACGTTCCACCCATCTCATCTTTATTACATCTACTAAACGAACGAACGAATGAACAAACGGACGAACGAACAAACAAACGGACGAACAAACAACCGAACGAACGAACAACCGAACGAACAAACAGACGGACTAACGAACGAACGAACAACCAAACGAACAAACAAACCAACGAACGAACAAACAACCAAACAAACGAATGAACAAACAAACGAACAAACGAATGAACAAACAAACGAACGAACAAACAACCAAAGGAACGAATGAACAAACAAACGGACGAATGAACAAACAATCAAACAAACGAATGAACAAACAAACGAACAAACGAATGAACAAACAAACGAACAAACAAACAACCAAAGGAACGAATGAACAAACAAACGGACGAACGAACAACCGAACGAACAAACAAACAAACGGACGAACGAACAACCAAAGGAATGAATGAACAAACAAACAGACGAACGAATGAACGAACAACCGAAAGAACAAACAAACGGACGAACGAACAAACGAACGAACAAACAAACGGACGAACGAACAACCAAACGAACAAACAAATGAACAAACAAACAAACAAACGGACGAACGAACAAACAACCGAACGAACGAACAACCGAACGAACGATTGAACAAACGGACGAACGAACAACCAAACGAACGAATGAACAAACAAACAAACGGATAAACGAACAACCGAACGAACGAACGAACAACCAAACAAACGAATGAACAAACAAACGAACGAACGAATGAACAAACGGACGAACGAATGAACAAACGAACGAACAACTAAAGGAACGAATGAACAAACAAATGGACGAACGAACGAACAACCGAACAAACAAACAAACAAAAGGACGAACGAACAACCAAAGGAATGAATGAACAAACAAACAGACGAACGAATGAACGAACAACCGAAAGAACAAACAAACGGACAAACGAACAACCGAACGAACAAACGAACAAACAAACAAACGGACGAACGAACAAACGAACAAACAAATGAACAAACGAACAAACAAACGGACGAACCAACGAACAACCAAACGAACGAACAAACAAACGGACGAACCAACGAACAACCGAACGAACGATTGAACAAACAAACGGACGAACGAACAACCGAACAAACAAACAAACGGACGGACGAACGAACAACCAAACAAACAAATGAACAAACAAACTAACGGACGAATGAACAAACAAACTAACAGACAAATGAACAACTGAACGAACAAACAAACGGATGAATAAACGAACAGCCAAATGAACGAATGAACAAACAAACGAATGAACAACCGAACAAACGGACGAATGAACGAATGAACAAACGGACAAACGAACGAATGAACAAACGGACGAATGAACAATCGAATGAACGAACGGACAACCAAACAAACAAACGGACGAACAAACAAACGGACAAACAAACGAACAACCAAACGAACGAATGAACAACCGAAGGAATGAAAGAACAAACCATACTTATTGGTCCCATTCTGTTAATTGTTTAATTGCTAAAGATTTATGAAATAATTTTTAAGATTCATTTGAGCTACGATATGTGAGATTCTAACAAAAATATTTTAATACAACTTTTTTTTTGTAAAAAGACAAATTTCTACACTAATATAAACTCTGGCTCAACTTCAAAGATGTAAAAGTACCTAAAACGTGTTTTTAAAAGTTAGTTCAGCTGTTTAAAGTGGGTTCATTTGGAAAAGTCTAAACAAATAATGTCTTACTTATTAATTGTTCCTTGAACATCATTAGTTTGTAGAAACAGGATTCCATAACCACATGTCTGATGAGCTAAGCTTTGGTTAGATTCATTTCTAGTTTTTGAATTACTCGGTTATTTACATGACATTCTGTTTATTTGCAAGCCTAAGCAGCAGCAGGTAGCTGTATCACTTCTGGAAGCTTTTCAGAATATTTCTTGCCAAAATAACTGTGTCATGTAAAATTGAAGAAAACGTAAAGTAATAGAAATGAGTGTTTTTATGAAATATTTTAGGATAGTTTAAGAAAG